TCTTGCCTTTAACTATCTGCAACTTAATGCAGTCACTCTTGACAATTCCAGCTTTTTGTTTTCCCTCTAATAATCCTTAGTAGCACTGTGATCTGAATTGGGGACAATCTTCTCTTAATCATAGTATTACTCATCATATATTACTCAAATATCCACAGTATCCCTAACCCATAACATTGCCCCAGTTAATGAAAGTATTAGCCCAATGATAGTGTTACCAAAGTGAGTATCCTGAATCAGTGGTGCTGCAATTAGGACACAACTGTGATTACATTACTTAATATATTGTAGTTTTAAATTCCAACAGGTATTTCTTAACATATTCTGATATACAGCATATAATTAAAAATATTCAAGCCATAATTAGAGAATTAATCCTAAGCTCCAAATGAAGAAAGAAGGTTGTTATATTAGCAGCAAAAAAAGAAAAAAAAATCCAAAAACCAAGGTTCTTTAACCCTTTATAAGTCCCAATTATGACATCAGTTATTGTCCTGTTACAATGCCTCTAACTTTAACATATGTCTGCATAGGCAGCATGGTAGTATATATGTGTTTCTTAGGTCAAGATATAACACATACGCTAACCGCATTTACTCAAGGCTTCAGAGTCCAGTAATAGCACATTAGTATCCTAAACAAGGTGCACTCTAAGGACCACCATAATGAAGGGGAGAGAAAGGAGGTTTCCGATGTTTTAATCAGGAATCCATAGTAGAGACAGTAAGTTGAAGTGCTTCTGTTAGTCACTCACAACTCAGTCGACAATGGGCATATTCCTAACCAATTTGCTAAACTGAGATAATAGCAACAAAGACTTTCAGTTTTTTTCTGCAAAGCACTTTTCTGTACAATATCTGGCCTCATTAAAAGAAAAATAACCAGGTTCACAAGGTAATAAGCATATGTGATTGAAAACCAGCAGAAATACTAGGCAATAGAAACATGCAGTGGAGTTTTTAAGAAGGCTTAAAAATAGCTAGTTTATTACTTCCTAAGAAATCATTAAAATGACAATTTTCATCATAGAAATAAATATATAAAAAGGAAATAATATGGAATTTTTAATACTAGCTGTTATAATAATTGAAATGAAGATCTTAAAGGGTGGGATTTAACAGTATATCAGTCACAGATAGAAATTAAATACCTGAGAAGATAGGTTACAAGTAGCTTTTCAGAATAAGTCATGGAGGATAAAACAATAAAAAACACAGGAGGAGAGGTGCGAGACAGGCTACAGTGACAAGGATTAGAATATATGTGACTCCAGACTCAGCAAAGGAAGAGAGAGGAAAAGTGTAAACAACAGTTGAAGTGAAATGACGGAGAACATCCCCCAAACTGATGAAAGTCAACATGGCACACCTTCAGGAACCCTAGAGCTTGAACATGATAAATGAAACAGTGTCATGTCTGAGCACATTAACATGGAACAATAGAAACCAAAGATGAGAAGGAAAATATTAAAGGCAGATAAAGAAGAACGAATAAATACTTGTAGAGATGCAACAATGATAACAGATGGCTTCTAGATATAATCAGCAGAGACTGGAAGCCAGTGAAGTGATAGCTTTGTAGTTTTAAAAATAAAGTCATTGCATCCAAATCCTATGGTCAGAAAAATTGTCCTCCTATAGGAAGTAAAGTAAATTGTGTCAATAAATACAAATTTATAGATTTTGTCAGTAGTAAATTCACATTCAGGGAACTAGTAAGTGGTGTTCTTGAGGCAGAGGGAAAACAATCCAAAATGGAAAGTCAAAACTGGATGCAGCAAAAATGAGATTAAACAAGTATCGCTTGCATAACAACAATGTTAAAAGAATAAAATTTATGAATGCAGATGTAATGTATATTTTTAGGATTGTATATAAAACTCAAGTAGGCTGAATAGAAAAATCTATACTCATAGGAAAAAATCACAGAATTTTATAAATATTTTGAAAGAAAATATAATATTGTATCTAGCAACTTGTGAGGTACAATTGAATCTTGATTAGAAGGTGGGAATTTAGAATTTTGAATGTGCAAGTAACTATTTGTGGATTTTATAAATAGAAGAGCAAATTGTAAGAAACAGAAGAAAGGAAATAAAGGTCAAAATATTAAATAAAAAAATACAATTGAGAGGTCAATACATCCCTCATTTTATTCTTAGCTAAAGATTTGTAACTTTCATAACCCTCTGGCAAAACCAAGCAGGAAATGACATAGGTGCAAAATGGAAGCCTGTTCATCTCTTCAGATCTTGTAAATGTCAAAAACATTATGAAAGGATACTGCAAATAACTTTATACTAAAAAACTAGCACAAATTCTTGGAGAACTATAACTTAATAAATAGACCCTAACCCCCACCCCTTTTAGTGTTTTATTTATTTATGCATACAGAATTGGGTACAAGCCAGAGGTTCAGGGGTGGTGAGAGGATTCACCAGAGACAGAGTAGGGAACAGAACAGGCAGACGGATGAAGTACACTGCTGAGGGGAGCAGCGGGTGAGACAGGAGAAGTCTGCTGCATCATGTGGGTCACCTCCAGGGCAGGAATCAAACTCACCCTGAAGCAGCTGCAGCCAGCTTGCAACCACAGGTCCTCACCTGTTATGCCACCAGGGAGGGCCCTTTCCCACAATTCTTAATTAAATTGAATCCCCAGATCTAAATGGGTTCCCAATTTAAAGAAATAAAATTACTTCCATAGACTCTTTGCTAGAGAGTAGGGGGAAAGGCAAGAATGCCTTTTACATGGAGTCAACAGATTGTTAACTATGAAAACTTTGAGGACATTTTAGGGAAGAAATATTTGAGCCCAGCTTTTCATAAAACGGAAAATAGGAGACATGAACTGGTGCTCCACCAAAGAGCGTATTAAAATGTGTTCAGTCTCATTTTAAATATAATACAAACTCAAAATGTGATGAGATTCACATTCTCCAGAGTGGTCCTAATTAAAAAGATTCACAAGATCAAACATTGACAAGATTGTGGAAAACTGGAACACTTGTTTATTTCAAGTAAATTAGTCATTATATATAGTGTTGAAGCATATCCTCTAGTCCAGAAATTCTACTCCTAGGTATGTAGTCCACATGAGTGAATTAGGAGACATATATATACATAACAGAAGGCTGATAGCAGCATTATTTGCAATAACCCCAAATTGGAAACATCCCAATGGTCTGGAGAGAGGAATCTACAAATGAATGGTCATATATTCATATCATAGAATAAAACACGAAAAGGCAAGATCCTCCCATCTTTTCTAACTAAAGTGGAAGTCATGGAGGATTGTTGCCATCATAGTCTGTTTATTAAGCAAATCACAAATACCCTCTTGTGTTTGAGATGAGGGAACACAGAACTCATTTTACTGCCATGTTTTTGAAGGAACTCATGGTTAGATAGGTGTTCCCTTCATAATTAATCCTTTAACTGTCTAATTTTCCTTTGTAGATTTTGTGGGTATGTGTTATATTTTGCAATTTGAAAGGCTAAAAAATAAAAACTATCTCCAAGGTGGTGAGGGACATTGTTCTTACTGCGTTTGGTTCCTTACTTCCCTCTAAAGCTTTATCTTTAGCTCTTGACAACCTGGCCCCTACCTCCTTGCTGATGTTAATCTTCCTCTCAAAGCTTCTCACAAGAATGCTGAGATCCAACTGAATTGTATCCTTGAACTTTTTCATAATCCCTGTGATAGATTAGATAATGGCACTCCAAAGAGGTCTACATCCTAATCCCCAGAGTCTGTGGCTTTGTTATCTTACTTGACAAAAGGGACTTTGCAGATAAAATTAAGAATCTTGAAGTGGCAATACTATCTGGATTAGCCAACTGAGCCAGAGTACACCAAGAGGGTTAGAGTGAGAATCAGAGAAGGAGATAGAAAGCATAGGTCAGAGTGTATGTGAGGGAGAGTGGACAAGCCAAGGATTGCAAGCAGCCTATAAAAGTTGAAAAAGGCAGGGAAATGATTATTTTAGAAAGGGCCAGTCAGCCAACACCCTGAGTTTAGTCCTCATAAGATCCATTTGTAGACTGTTGACCTTCAGAACTGAAAGAAAATAGATTTGTGTTGTTTTAAATTACCAGTTTTGTGGCAATTTGTCACAGCAGCAACAGAAATCTAATACAACCCCTTTCTTACTTTTTACTGTTGACCTTTCTTATGTCATTTGGTTCTACTTTTAGTAGAACACTACCTCAGGTGAACTCCAATCAAACCCCCAGTGTTAGAGACCCAGTTTAGATGCTCCCTTTTACTTGAAATCTTATCAGAGCAGAATTCTTACTCCTCTGTATGTCAGGAGACACTGATGGCACCGGTAGTCTATGAATCATATATTACTACAAATCACTTGAGCCCAAGCTTCTTCACTGTCTCATTCCAGTCTCCTGTCAGGGTCCCTACACATTTGAGGCAGGCATGCTTGTTGAATGCATGGGTATCTAACAAAATTGTAAAGTCTTTTATATACTCCATTGTTAGGGAGAGAGGATATCGTGAACGAACTCTACAGATACAGGTTTTGTGGATTCCACCCCTTACTCCAGACACTGAAACTACAACTCCCAGCAACACCAAAGGGAGGACAGTGAGGACCCAAGGGCAGAGCTAAGCAGCCATTTTGAGATTTTTGGCTATAAAGGCAGACATGTTGGGCTGAGGTTCTCTCCCTTAGCCTTGTGGCTGGTGGCTGGTTGCTTGGCTCTTGATCAGTTTTTAGTGTGCTACTGGGCTTTCAAGTCAGTGGAACTGGTAGGATACACTAGTTAACCTGTATCTCTCTCTCTCTTTCCCTGTGTTGTTTCTTTTCTTTTCCCTTGTAAATAAACCCATTATTCACTTTTGTGTGTCTGCAGTGCAGTTGAATCTTAAGTGCATGGGTGAGGACCCACAGATAAGCAACCCAATCCACTTTGGGTTGCCCTATAACACTAGTAACAATCCATAAGGCAGTTGATATTCTATATGAAAATATGAAAGTAAACATACGTTTGCAACTTCAAATGATCCATTTAAAATCTGTTCCATGTAACGGTTTAGATCTCTGAATCTTTTGTGATCTGAATTTGTAAAAGGTAAGTGCCACCAATGAGGAAACCTGTTTTAAGAGAGAAAAAAAGTGTATCTTTATTAGTTTGAAAATTTGCATCTGTATGTGAGGATTGCTCATGAACTTATAGCTGCATCAGAAGGAAGGGTCAATGAAAATATTTTTGAAAACCACATAAAACAAAAGATTAATTGTGAGTTTCATTAACATGGCTGTGGTCACTTGTGATATTTTAACTGTCATTGATTTTCATGCTGATTTAATTTAATTTAGCAGATTAAATTAATATATATCCTCCTTCTTACTGTTTAATGGCAGACCCCACATTTTGTCCTTTAAATACATGTGGGGGTTTAATGAATACTCTCTGAAGTTAATGATTCATAATTTTCCAAGAAGGTCAGATTGTATTGCTTTTTCTTGATTCACTAGAGGCATTGCTACTCTAACATATTACACATTTTACCAAGTGACAGATACTTTCAGCTGGTCTTAGTCTTTTGGAACAAAATAGCAATTTCCCAGGAAGTGTGACTTGCAGAACTTACTCTTTACTAGCTAATGATTCATCTTGATGGGTTAGATGTGGTTAAGACTACTCATTGGGATAATCTGTTAATGGTTAGCATTTGACAACACATGCTATGGTCCTGATAAGATGGTTAAATATATATTCTCAAGAACTAATAGCTCCCATTTCCTGCTTAGCTTCTTGTTGCTGCTTCCTTCATACTTCTGTATCTTTGATCAGACCTTTATCTAGGGAAAGTCACATGGGGAACAGTGAAAGGTTCTCAGAAAACACACTCCACTATGTGACAGACAAGTGTAAGCTACCCCATCCACTGATTCTTCTTGGAGATGTCAAGGAAGTCCAAAATTGTGTTCTTTTTTGTCTGTAAATACTTGACATTTTATTTTAAAAGGCCTTTTGCAACTTTAAGGCTTAAAGTATTACACTTTTTATCCACCCTTAGTTATTATAAAAATTAGTGCCATCTACAGTTAGTTAAAACATATACAAGCATTTGATAAAACAATGGATTGGTCTGATTTAAAATATTAATTTGTTTATTTTTGGATTACTTTTCCTTGCTGCTAGAATAAAATGGAATTCAATGTTAATTCTATTCTTTTGTTGATATTTTTTAGATTTTTTTGGTATATATAAGCACATAAGCATTGAGGAATTCAGTTATAGTCATGCCATTCAATTGTTGGAAATGTTTTCAAAGTTACATGTAAATATAGCATAGCAATCTGTTCTTTAAAATTATTATAAGGATTTCTTTCTTTCTTTCTTTCTTTCTTTCTTTCTTTCTTTCTTTCTTTCTTTCTTTCTTTCTTTCTTTCTTTCTTTCTTTCTTTCTTTCGTTCGT